GCTCCACGCTGTTGGTCCGTCCGATGGCCTGGTCTGCCCATGTGAAAACGGAACTGAACGGCACCAAAGCGTGTTAGAGGGCCCGACGATCGGTCATAGGAATGTTGTCTGGGATTATTTCTTCGATTGAAGAGGGGACGGCGGGTGGGGCTGTGGAGACTTCGACACAGTTTACCTCCGTGATAACTGTGTCGTCTTCAAGGAGGATGAGTGATTGAGCTGTGGGGGAAAAGGTAATGGCTTGGGCGTTTCATTTAAGGAAGTCACAACCCAGAATTACATTCCATTTGAGTTCCGAGGAAACAAGGAAGTGGTGTCGGATAGTTCTATCTTTGATGGAGACTGGTACAACTGCGGAGCCGCGAAGTGCTAGAGGGGAATTGTCGGCGGTGAGGATCTGAATTTGTGGAAATTCGGACTGCGTGTAAGGCGTGCCGTACAAAAGGCTGTCGTGGATCAGAGAGACAGCTGCCCCTGTATGGATACTTTGCGTGGATACTACCGCACTACCTAACCTCACTCACCATCACAATTTGTCAACAATTTGTCAACCTTAAGGAGGCCAAGACTCATACGACTGCTACTATTTATACTACTGCAAATTAGTAATGTAGCTGAGTGTTAGTAGTACTGATACCATTTCTGACGTTAGTATTAGTCAAAGGTGACGCGGATTAGAAATAACGCTGGGGCTCATACCGCCTTGGTCTTCACAAGAAATGTGAATCTGGGCTTGAGCTATTCCGAGTAAATCCATGTGTGAGGCCCGGAGCATATCGGGGCTTTGTTTGCTTTCTTCCCTTTCATCCCTATCCACCCAGATGTGCCATCTTGCTGGTTAACGAATCGTTATTAAGTAATATTTCAATTTTTGCCACGCTTTTATGTGGCGTGGTGCTATTTGCCGTTTTCAGGCAAATTTTTAACCTATTGCAGTACCTTACTCTATTTCGTGGTATTGGTGGACGTCTCCTGTCTAATAGGAGACCAGTCTGCTCCATAATTGACTAACATTTCTATATCCTATAACTGTGTCAGTAACTGAGCAATAAGCAATATGCAGAGTAGATGTAAATATGAGCTGTGATTCTGACAGTAGTAGTGACAGTGGTAATGCTAAATAAATATTATTTGATAATACCGCAACTTTTACCATGCTTTTATGTCGCAACGTAGTGACATTTGCCTTTGACTTACTACAATATATAACTTGCGATTGAAACAGGCCAATAATAAATACCATGCAGCAATACGGTGTCTACTAGTAATAACTAACTGGTAAATGCAGGTGACTGATATAGAACTGGCACTATAACCGACGCTTATATTAGTACTGTCTGGGTGCAGCATTTTTCCGAATTTTATAAATAAATAAATAAATATTTTTTTATATTTTAGACCCTGAGGGCCTCGTCATTGCTTTAGTATAGACCGGCGAGAGCTGAATAGCAGTAGTGTCGGTAAGACACTATTTCCAGAATAAATGAGGTCCATTCTAGTACCAGAGCTATTTTATTACTAACTAGCGCGGAAGCCCGGCTTCGCCTTGGGCTTCCTTACATTTTGTTGTCCGCACTGAAGTCTATGGGAACACTGACACTTTGCAACTAAAGTTGACGTCGGTAGTCTCCCGACAAATCATTTCTGTGCTTTAACCGTAGATCATAGGGGCAGTTCAACTCACAACTTCTAATTAAGAAC